TGATTTTTGGCAATGCCGGCGCTTCGCGAGTCCCCCTTACTGCTGCTACTAGTGTGAGAAAAAAACAAACAATTGGTCAATTTTACTCTTTGACACCTACCAAGGCCACCCAGACAAATTTTCATACAAATTAACTGATTGAGCATTTAAACAATAGAATCTGTACAAATGTTCGAGTCATTTTCCCCTTTAAAATTACAGTATATATTTTGCTTTATACAAGTGTGTGTATGATTAGTAGTGAACAAGAAACAGCTTAAAATCAAGAATTCAATAATTTATCTGCTATGCAGCGTTAAAAATATGATTTGTGGAATTGATTCACAGTTTGTTTGGGTGGCCTTGACTGATGTGGACGCACTGTAAAATTTGACCATTGACTACAACATCTATTCTAGCTTTGCAAATGGGCTTAAAGTTTGGGAGGGAAGTACGTATCATACACTGCAGGAAAGGTGGGGGAAATTTAGGCAACTCTGGTAGGGCTTCAATTCAGAGGGACTTGTTTTTGGAAGTTTACAGACTCTGCATATAAAATGTGTGATTCCAGAAAATATCCCATCCCATACTACTCCACCATGGAGGATACCAGAAATTCCCTGTGGGTGGGTATCAGAGAAAAAACAAATTTCAAGGTTCGCGAGGAAGAAAATTGGAAATTCCAGAGGGGTGGGGGACCTTTTTTACAAATTCCCTACAATCCATGGTGGGGTAAGTGGAAATTTTCTGGAACCATATGATAATATCCCATCCCATACTATTCCACCATGGAGGAAATCAGAAATTCCCAAAGGGTGGGTATCAGAGAAAAAACAAAATTACAAGGTTTGTGAGGAAGAAAATTGGAAATTCCAGAGGGGTGGGGGACCTTATTTACAAATTCCCTCCTGTCCATGGTGGGATAAGTGGAAATTTTCTGGAACCATATGATGATGTACTGGATGACTTACATAATAAGAAGGATGGAGCCTGGACTGATTGTTTTTGGGGGTCCTACAGTGCAAGCTGCTTTGTGGTTCAGTTCAAACAGGTAATAACATGGATCTGTTGTATGAGTATCATTTGTCCTGTGTTCCTCAATCACTTTTAGTGTGCCCTTTGTAGGAAAAAAGAAACAAGGAAAGTTTAAAAAATACAGCATGGTCCTTGTGCTTGTTCATGATAAGACAACGCTAACTTGGCCTGTGTTGCTGGCGGTCTGTGTTTTTTTTTTTTTTAGGGGGGGGGGGGGGGGGGGGGGGTTATTTAGATTTAGAAAATTAGAATCCAAAAACTTTTTCAAAAATTTTTTAAGCAGCCACCTTACAGCCATTCTCAATGAAACGCACCCTCTAGCGATTGTTTCTGTCGYGACAAAGAAGGTTTTGATGGATGTCAATCACAAGGCCTTTCCATAACATTGTTGGAAAACGCAAAGCTATAAGGGCACATGCCTATAGAATGTCATGAAAACGCCTTGATTGACTTCCACCAAAAGCTTCTTCATAGCGACAGAAACAATCGCTAGAGCAGCGCGTGTGATTGAGAATGGCTGTAACAATATGAGCATAATCCCCAACTATAAAGTAACATAATTTAAAGTGTGTATGACACGAAAACATTTCATCGTTTAAAATGTATAGTTTGTTAATAATAATAAATATGTTGTAATAAAATTTGTTTCAAAAGCTTATTTCTTGAGATATGTGAGAAAATTGAGCCTAATTTGTGACGTCATTTTGTTGACACGTACTCTAGATTCGGTAGTAATGCACTAAATATAAATTGTAATTCGTATAAAATAACAACAAAAGGCATATTCTATTCAGCTTTATTTGATAGCTTACGTAGTACTCTTCCAATGTTGGGAAATTGAAAAGTGTACTACTTGAAATTAAGACTCTACATTCAAACATATTTCGTGTATTTGCAACTAAATCTGGAGACTTGTAAACAAAATGACGTCACAACGCGTGCTAAATTTTCTTGAATTTCTAGAGAAGTACGTTTTTGGAACAAATTTAACCGTGATATTCTTATTAATGCCAATAAACTACACATTTTTAACATTAGAATTTTTTCGTGTCATATGCACTTTAATGAATACCGGTCTTTTCGAACCAAAGTCTTTTCGATCCAGGTCTTTTCGAACCAGGTCCAGGTCTTTTCGAACCAGGTCCAGGTCTTTTCGAACCACCTATATACACTTTCGATCCACATACATACACATTCGATCCAATATAGTTGTGAGATATTTTATAGATGTTTAGTGTTTTCTTTCAGAAATATTACAGAAATATCACAGAAGAAGTGAATTAATCCAACTGAGTGAACCAAGTATYGTGTGTGATCGTGTGTGATATGTGTTAGTATCGCTTACGAAGTCAATAAGTTAGCCCCCATAGTCACTTCCAAYGTAAAGTCTTTAGCCAAGAAAAGATGTTTTCTCCTTCATTTACGTGAATATCCTATTGAATAAAGTGAAGGAATATTATGAAGAAGTCCAAAACTTTAGAAGCGAATGATTACTGTTGTGTGACAAGCGTGCATGACAATTAGCGTGTGTGTTGTTACTGACTCGTCAATGAAACCGGTAAATCTTCTATTTGGTAACGAGTTATTTATTGATTTTTGGAGTCTTCTTCAAAAACGTTTTTATATTCAAGATGCTTTAAAATACCTTTCAAACAAATAAAGTAGGGGAGCGAACATCGCGAATAAGTTAAAAAAAGTCTGTAAAAGACGCGAACGAATAGATGTTGTGTGATGTGTTACATGTGAAACTTGTCAATGAAACCGGCAAACTATCCGATTTATGTTAGAAATATTTGCTTGTTTGCCCAAATCTTTCTGCAAAAACTTTTTTTTTATTATCCAAGAAAAATACCTTTCAAATACCTGTCAAACGAATAAAAACAGAGAAACGTACATCACAAAAGAATAAAGAAAAAAACAATTCACGAATTAAAGGAGCGATACATAACACAACACATTTTATACATATACATTAGAAAAAGCAGTTCATGATAAACATAAGACCAGTCTTATTAAGCAAAAAAAGTTTTATATACGCATTTTATAATATATTTTATATTAAACTCACGGCAAATAAAGTAGGGGAAACATCGCGAAGGAGTTAAAAATTTAAGACGCGAACAAAAATATGTGTGACAACAAGAGTGTTACATGTGAAACTCGTTAATGAAACCGGCAAACTAGAGTCACTCTATCCGATTTGTGTATTTGATTGAAATATATTGCTTGTTTGCCCAAATTTTGAGCACAAAAACACAGTTATTTTCTCCCATAATGTTTATGTTAAACTCATGGCAAATACATTAAGGGAAACACATGGCAAATGAGTTAAAACGTTGTGACAAATGTTTGTTGTTCGATTGCGAAGGACGCTAAGAAGTGGAGTTTCTTTCATCTCAACCGTTTGTATAAGTTTTTACTAATCAATAAATAGTTTCAGAAGTCAACAGTTTTCATTTTTATTTAGATGTTGATTAACTTTAGAAAAAAACTTTAATATTCAAGTATGTGAAACACATAAATAAGCTTAATCAATCAGAACTGAATGGCGTTTTGAATTCATTATTTCAATCCAAAACGATTTGATCGATTACAAAAACAGTTAGCATTTCATACGCTAAACTTAGCCACTGATATTTCCACTTTATGTTTATACAGTTATTAGGTACGATAAACAAGAATCTAAAACAATTTTCTACTATTCAAGACAGGTTAAAGGCGTTTGTTTGAAAAAGTCCGCGTGACACCGATGTGTCATCATGCCCAGCCAAATTCATAGTRCAACGCGCATAGTTTTGATTTCTTTTTTGATCATAATCTTTTATCCGGTGCTCAAGACAACTTTTTAAACTATACTCTTTTAAATTAACTATGTACACAGCATATAGGACGTGTTATATGCTTTAGTTATATAGGTGGATCGAAAGTGTATATAGGTGGTTCGAAAAGACCTGGATCGAAAGGACTTTGGTTCGAAAAGACCGRTTACCAATTTAATAGTTCTTATTTATGCTTACTCTACTCTCATTTGGATCACAGATAATTAGAAGATCACTTTTTCTTGGTGCTTTTTGACAATGGCTTTGGTATTTTTCTCCTCCACCATAGGAAACCATTAACCAATCAGCTGCAATTCAAACAAATTGTTAGTCATTTTTAAAAGCATTTTACTGCAGGTTTCTATACCCTGCAAACTTGATTTGGTAGTTGCGAGTTGAACACTGAAGTTAGATTTTTTCTGAAATCAATATAATCAGGCAGCACCATTCATATTCTTGACCAGTGGCAGTAAAGACCCAAATTCACAAAATGACATTGAAATGTCAGAGTTTGCARAATATCAAAAACCGTGGCAGTAAACACAGGGTTCGCAATGAGAAATCAAATGTAAAATTCAAGGATTCAAAAACAATATTTCAAGGAGTATTATCTTCCATTTTTGAGTTACTATGGCTTAGAGCACTTTTTACAATGAATCAAAGGCAACCTGTGTTGAACTTGTGGATATACAACCCAGGTGATCAGAGGAAAAATGATCAGCCAATCAAATCGCAAATCACTTTTTTGAAGAAAAAATATCAATCCCATGCATCTTTACGCGTCCTAATTCCTGATGTGTAGCAGAAAAGAAAATGGCTGGCAAGGAAAATACAAGTTAAGAGAAATATCATTTTACAGGGAGTTTAAGGCTTTAAAATGTTTCTGCTCTAAATAATATGTTCTCCAGATGAGACTAGAGACATTTACCTTCATCACTCAGGTTATTTTTCATTTTTCATTTAAAAAATTGAACCCTTATTCGCTCTTGAAGAAGCTGGTGAAAAACTTTCTCAATTCCTTAATAAGATTTTTTTGGACTCACGGTAAAGATTAGACCCAACTCTTGGTTTTTATACCATTGATTGACATCAATTCTTTCTACACAGTGAGCAACAAGCAACAAGTTCAGACCTCACTCTTGGTTTTTAGTCACTTGTCTGCATCATTATGCATCATGGCAAATCCATGAAAAAAATGACATGAAGTTGTGCCTTTCTTTTAATTTTTTTCTTATAAGTTTTGACTCACTAGGTTCTATGTATGAAATATTAGCCTCACATCATTCTCCATGAGCCAAGTATTCAGGAAAAAAACAAAGTAGGTCCCAGTTGTTCATCTATTTATGAGCTCGCAGGATAACCGTGCCAATATTTTCAATACTTTAATGAGTAAATGATGTATGACCTTTACACTAAAATTCCTTACAAACTCTCAGTTCTTTTAGATGATGCTGATTACATTTAAGCTGACCAAAGGCTTCATGATGCCCTCTAGCACTCTACAGATGGACAAAATGGCTCTGAAAATCTTCCATTTTCTAAATACAGCCTGTAGTGTATTCAAGCTGCAGTTGCATCAAACAAAAAAACGTTTCTTTGTTGGAATACTGTATCACACCACTGGTGAACTTTGTACCTCATTTCCATAAAAGGCTGACAATGTCAATTTCCAAATTCCAAATATGGTTTTGTTAGGGCTTGCAGAAAGATTAGGTCCAGAAAAACACTAAAAAACCTCAAAAATGCCTAGGAGTAAAAGGGTTGATCAAAAATCTTAACAGTATATCACTCGAGTGAAAGAGCATCCAAAAGTGAGTGAGCTGTTAAAGTTTAAATGCTGTGGCCTTTTTTTCTCACACTCACATGCATTTTACACATCTGTAGTAATCATAGAAGAATAACTTTTTTGCCCACGATTTTTTACTAAATCCTTATACAGTCAACTCTCGCCTTACGGACACCCTGCTATTAYGGACACCTCGATGATACGGACAGGGAATAAATCCCCGGCGAAAAATACAAAGAAATGACTGAAAGTAATTAACTCCTGTTAATTATTACGGACTCTTGCTATTACGGAATTACGGACACTTTGTCTGGTCCCAATTGCATATTTTCATTGTTTAACTCTCGTTATAACGGACACATCCTGCAATTAAATACCGCAGTACATTAATAATTTAAGTGGTTTATTAAAAAATAACCACCAGGCAGATACAGTACAATTCTGTATTGAACTTTCTTGTTCAGCATGGGCTGACTACAATTACTAGTGAGTTTTCAAGTTTAAGCAATAAAGTAGCAGAAAGTGCACTCAAAAAACAATCACGCCAAAGCACAATCGATAGCTTTTTCAAATCTTAGAAGAGTCAGAGTAAAGTCTACTACAGTACTGTACCATGTAATTTTTAATTTTACGTTACTTTTTTATTCATAGTTTTCATACAATCTCATAAGGTTAAAGTTTGCTTAAGATATTAGGATACGTTTACGACCACTATGTGCGCAAACTTAAATAACGCACTGGCTTTATAGCATAACACAAACAAAGTATACATTTTCTGAAAGCTGAGTAAATATAGTTTATGAAGACATCTTCAAAATACGATTTTTTTAATTGTTGTTCACATTATTGTCCTCGAAGYGAAATTTGACCATGCCTTAGTGAAAACGTTAATGGACACGTACATTTTAAGCTATGTTTGCGAAAAATGTCTTAACATACTCAGGAGATAATAAGCTCAAAAAGGGTGTCCCAGATTTTTGATATCTGTTTTATATCTCTCGCTATTTTTGATCAAAGTTCGACGATTGCTTTTGGAGTGTTGTTTAGAGTAAAAAGCGTCATAACTTTGGAAAGAAATTAAATTTCAAAAATTGGAGACACCCTTTTTTGGATCATGAGTTACTTTATAAACTCTCCAAATTTTARAAAAATCRAATGAAATCCAAGGGMCTTTTAGCTTTTTVAAGTTGAGGTTTTAGCGGCAAAAAARATTYGAGRAAAATRCATTTCTTTGTTTSSAGCCGGAAGCTGCAGGGAGCTACGATGGTGTTGGTCAAAACACCTTGAGCCTTCCATTTTGTCATCACTTGTCAAATTCTCTGTTGTTTTGGACGATCGCAATGTAGGATCTTTTTACAAGGACAAAGGAGCATTTGGACTCGACGTTATTGCAAGCGACGGGACATTTCCGGTCTTTATAAAGTCACGATTTTGATTTGCCTCAAAATTTTGGCTTTTCAAATCAAAAATTGCAAGAAATTTCACAAACATATGAAAGACAAAAATTTAAAGTTACGAAATTTCAAAAAAAAWTTTTTTTCGAGCAAATCATCATTTTTCGTATCCTAATACCTTAATATCAGAATAATTGTCATAGTTTTGATTCTATGTTGCCTGTATTATGTGATTAACAATAGTGATAGTTGCTATATAATCAAATTAAACAATTTCAAGAAAAAAATGAGTGTTTTTTTYCCCGCACCCCGCTATTATACTGACTCTCGCTATTGCGGACACTAAATTACGGTCCCGAGGGTGTCCGTAATAGCAAGAGTTGACTGTATATATTATATTCTTTCCATTGGCATGAATTGAATGTGGTCTGAAATGAAAAACATTATGCCTAAACTAATAAATACAAAAGAGGTCTATCTTGCACTAAAAAGTACAAGAAAATCATTTTTTTTTTACTTACTTCCTCCTCTGATTGTTGCACTTTCATATGTTCCAGCATTATAAATCCTTTTAGAGCCTTTTTTTGCTTGTTTCACCGCAGTTGGGTCCTTCCCAGTTTGACAGATCAAGATTGAATAACTGTATTTATTAGAGTCATCGACACAGCTATATTGACTGAAAAAAAATTGAAAGGAACGTATGAATACTCCAGTTTACTGTAAAGTTCTGTGTAGCTCAGGGTTACCATCAACTTTGTGCAAGATATTCATGTCTTCCAGTGACGGTTGGTAAAATTTTAGCATTATTATTCAAGGTCTTAAAAAAATGTGTCTATCATTGCAAGCTCAGCGTTCGTCTTACTTCGATGCAAAGGCATGCCTACCTTTCAAGAAGGCACAGGGAGCTGTGAAAGGGACTATTGACAACTGGATATTAGAAAATGATTGTCCATGTACTGTAGCTGACAACCACAATTTTTGTTCCAAGTCTTTTTTTGGTGTTTTTTCGAATAAAAGAAAGAGAAGGTATACATAAGGTATACATGAAATTAAAATAATTAAATAATGTGAATGACTACCCAATAGGGAGTGTGCAAACAGAACTGAGTCCCATAAATGATAGGAAAAAAAGGAAAAGAAAGGAAAGGAAAGGAAAAAGTTTTCACTCAATCATTTTTGGATTTAGTCAGCAAAAAATTAACTACAGTGTATTTAAGAAAAAAAAGTATGAATAAGATGAATATGAATCTGGATCAAAAAAATCTAACACTAAGAAATAATGATTTAAGAATATATAATGATTTAATGGATATCCTCACTTAGAAAAAAAATGCAGTGGCAGGCAAGATTCGAACCCTGGACTTGTTATTACTATGCCTATCCCAACCCTAAACCTAATGCACTAGTCATTAAATAACTTTTGAATGTATTTCCACAGGGAGCCCAATTTAGATTAAAGTGAATGGTGGAAATAAAATCGTAAAATTAAATACTTATTTTTTTTTAAATTCAATAACAAGATAATGTCCTCCGTTTTCGCGCATGCCTTTGTTTTCCTATATAATTTCCCTATGGTATCTGATGTTGATCTTATGTATATATACTCTGACAAGGGAGGAAACTACAGTCGCCATATTTGAACAAACAACTCACTTTAAATCACGATTTCATCATCTTTTAAACCTCGAACTCCACAAAAAACTTGATCAAAATGATCTCTACGATGGGGGATTCATTTATTTAAGACTCGTTTGGCTCTTCCTACAAGATTTCTATGAGTGAAATTTTCATGCACAAAATGTTTCACTTGCAGAAAATTTTCTGCCATGTTATGTCAAAGTTACTACTTGCGTAGGACTCAGGCAAGAACGAATTTTGACCTTACTACTCTCCCGCACAGGATTTTTGTAACGTGTACACGACCCACCACCAGCCACTCCACAGGGCTAGTTTTGCTCTTGAAAAATCCTTCCACAATGATGATGCAGTTTTCTCCTGAAAAAGTCTGGAAATCTCCAAAATTTCAAGTTAAATGAAAGACATCCATTGTAATTTTCACTAAACCTGATATCATGTTGAATTATCTGTAGTTATCTTTCCTTTTTCAAAGTAAAACCAACCAAAAAAGCAAAAAAATGTCAACCATAGAGAACTTTTGTCCATTCACTTTAATCTAAATTGGGCTCCCTGTGGTATTTCCAGTCAAATGCCCTGCTATGTCCCGGCCGGGGGGGAGGGGGGTGGGGGTTTACATTGACTAGTGCATAACACTTAGCCATGAAGTGAATTCCCTGGGATGCTTTCTGATTTTTGTCATATTTAGAACGATATCAAAATATATATTTAAATATCCATAGGAATAGAAATTGCAAGTCGGCATACGGTTACCGTACGAATAATTTCGGACTCTGTGTACAAGCATCCCTGCTTATCAGGTGCATGTCACATGACTGGCTTACAGCATACCTATACTATTCTGACCATCTGTAAGAATGATACCGAAACCAGCGTGGACAGCCATTAACGCTTCCTTCTAAACTAATCATTACTCTCATTGAATCAAAAAATCCCCAACATTGTTTAAAGTAGTTTTGTATTCCATGAAAAAAAATKTTGACTGTTCAAAACTTCTGTGGCGTAGTTTCGGTACTTAAGATTATAATTTAACTAGATATATATGGAGGAATCTATCCCTGCTTCTCTTCTTTATATCAACTCAAAGACAGATAGATAAAGTATTTGACGGGCTATAGTAACAAAAATATTATAATAACAAAGTTGAACTTACCGTTGGTCTTTCAGCATATCGATCCTATCATTCACGTTGTTTGGATCGTTGGCGTGGTGTGGGCAGCCACCACAATTAACCATCACAAATACACACGAGCAGAAGATAGTAACAAAAATATATATACTACCAAGATCTGCCATATTGATCTAGSTCAAAATAGATGGTGTTGGTCTACTGAGATATCAAACCAACTCCCCCAAAAAGAAGGAAGATAGATGCCTTGGTGACTAACGTCTGTAGAACAGTGAGTCAGATTACTACCTCATCACCATGACCTACGCAAGCCCAAGAACCAAAGGTAACCCAATAAGAATTTTAACTAATGGGAAATTCCACTGAGTGCAAACCATACATCCGTGAATTAGCTCAAGAACTAAATAGCACTAAACCCATCTATTTGTTTTGTTTTTAATTGTTTCATTGGTACTATTTTGTACTAATTAGTGAGTATAATGAATAATTTAATGACGCATTTGGCATTGGATGATCGAGTACAGTTCTCCTTCTATATAATATAAAATAAAATAGGGAAAGAAATTGATACAAGTGTAACATAAACGATTATTTTTATGTCGTGTGCAAGAAATACATTAACCTCCCCCCTCCTTCCTCCCCCCTCCCCTCCCACACAAACACACACACATTAAAAATGTGTATTTTATACTATCAAAGAAAAATCATGGAAGGCGGAAAGAGATGCATGAAGGAATAAGAAATAAATAACTGGAGTCGAAGAAAGATTGGAGGAAAAAAGAGAGAAAGAAAATAGGTGGTGATAAGGAATTAAAGATAATGAATTAAAATAAAGGGATAATTTGAAAATTAAATCAGGGATTAATTGTATTTTATAAAATAATTGGTATACTACGCGCGCTAGGATTGGTCGAAAGCCATGTTTGATGAGAGTATCAAAACACGCTATCGTCATTTTCAATCTATCACGCGCGCTCATTTGTCAGTTTGAATAAGACGGCACGTAGGGAGAATTTACTTAGACTTTGCTTTTTTTCGATCTTTCCGCGCGTTTGTTATTTTATAAAACAGATCAAAAACAGTTTTCTGTGTTTGATACTCTGATCAAAACACGCGGGATGTTGGGAGAACACGAGAGGAGCGTAGGAAACCACGACGCGTAGCGGAGTGGTTTCCAGCTTCTCGAGTGTTCTCCCAACATCCCAAGTGAAAACTGTTTTTGATCTGTTAATTATAAAATAATTGGGATACTACGCGCGCTAGGATTGGTCGAAAACCATGTTTGATGAGAGTATCAAAACACGCTATCGTCATTTTTAATCTATCGCGCGCGCTCATTGGTCAGT